AAACCCTGGGCCGCTGCAGGACTTGGTCCATGGTCGCCAGCTCTACCAAGTATGCTAACCGGTCGCCCAAGAATGTCATTTTTAACACCAGCATTTATGTGTTTCACCTCAGTGCAGTCATATAATTTAGTTTGCAGCCCACATTAAAGTCTGGAGTACCTCCTTTAATGATTATGAACAGGTAAAAAGAACTGGTGTTACCTGCCTAACAGTGATATTTTAACATTGAGCTGACTAATAATGTACTAATGACTAACAATAAAGAAAATAGAATAGGGCCCATAAAGCTTTCTTGAGGAACACCATAATCAATCTAAAAGGCTTGTCATACAAAATCCCCTAAACTAACAAAAGACATTCTTCCTGATAAGTGAATAAAGTGAAAGTGAATAAAACCAGTAAAGCACTATACCAGAGACTCACCCAAGTCTTGTGGTAAATAAACAGTATTAGGAGGGGTAGTAAATGTATATGGTCCTGATCAGGGGGTTGTTTTTTTATTGTAGGAAGTGACCGGTCACTAGTCGGTCACAGACTAAGGTCAGGAGTGGGTCATAGCTCTCAAACTATTTGTGGGAGAGACCTGGACTTTTTCATTAATAACATAAACAAGACAAACAGGGGTGTTCACTGTTTTACGATTGTACTGAGATGTATATTAAGGGGGCAGCAGCATTTTGGAAGTCTAGAGAGAATACTCATGATGTTGTCTTCTCTCCATGCTGCATGTATTAAAGTGTCTTGATTACCACACCGGTAATAGTTCTTCAGAGAATTAGCACCTCTCAACTTTGGGAAGAATTTCCACAACAGTCTTTTGATTGAAATGCCATTTAATCAATCATACCTGGGCATGGTACCTCACCTGGTAGAGCATGTGCACCATGTAGGCTGAGTCCTTACTGTAGTGGCCTGGATTAAATTCCGGCCTGCGGCCCTTTGCTGCATGTCATCATCCCAGAAATAACTGATGCCCATAAATATGCTTCACAGAAGCAGTTGAAGTTTTATGAAAGATTCTTTATAGGCATTTTTGTCCCTAATAGAAAATATAGATGAGAGAGATGGATGACACGCAATAGGTTCAGTTGAACAGTTGAAATTAATTTTATTCAAAAAACATTGAAGGAAACTGCCTTTCTATATCACCCTAATAAGACAGTACTGGAAAGAGTACTGGACAGTACTGGAGTGTTTACTGTTAGCAAACACTCAAGTTTTGACATGTTTGTCTTTTTTCGCAGGTATAACCAGGTGAACGCCATCCGAATGGCCTGCAGCACTGGAGTAACAGAATGCCAGAACCTGACCAACACATGGTTTGAGCAATGGATGGACAGCCCTCAACAGAATTTGTTGGTCTATTTTCATGTTTCAGTTGATCATGATCCACCCACCACACTTTTTTTTAAAGTTAACCAATGATTTATCTCCAACTCTCTTGTCAGGATCCATCCCAACCTGCGTTCAGCAGTGTACTGCAGTGCCATGGCCGCAGGAGATAAAGCAGAATGGGATTTTGGATGGGAACAGTTCAAGAATGCTGCTGTAGCCAGTGAAGCCAGCAAACTCATGTCTGCACTGGCCTGTACCACCAAAACACAACTGCTGGAAAGGTGTGTATCCCTCCACCCTTTACAGAGAGGAGGAGGGTAATGTAGTGATGTCATAAACTAGTAATGTTGAAAATTGAATGTCGTCAGACACAAAAGTATGATACAAGCCTGGAAAGAGTGAAAGTCTGTTCTGTTCTTGCAGGTATCTGTCTTACACCTTAAACTCAACTTTAATCCGTAAGCAGGACGCCACCTCTGTCATCACTGCTGTTGCCAGCAACAGAGTGGGACAGACTCTGGCATGGGACTTTGTCAGGAAAGAGTGGGAATACATGTTTACACAGTGAGTATTACACTAATAAAGATAAATACACCTATTATATTTTATGTGTATATGTAAGGCTGGGTATTGTTTAAAAATTTCCGATACCAGTACCCTTAACATGATACCGATACCAACTGAGTACTTCATTCGATACTTTTTTTCAACTTTAAAAAAAAAAAAGCAATCGGTTGCGTAAATGTTACCATTCCTGGTGGTAGAGACTGCGAATGAGTGCGTGTTGTGGGAATCAACACATGGCTCATTTGAATATTAAAATGAGCCATCTGTTGATGAAGGAGAAGGAGAAATTCCGTGATAAAAAATGGATAATCCACTCCACAGAGGGTAAGGGTGGATGGATGCCTTTAACACAGGAGACCTCTGTTTGTTTACTGTTTGTCAGCATTGGTTTCTTTCATCCACGAACCTGGTTGTTCACTTACTTTATCCACTGTTAATATTGTAACCATGACAACATAGGTCTATTAACTCTGATTAATGGCCTCAAGTGATGTCACCTGAGTTTGAAAATGAAAATAAAATTGGGGTGAACTCACAAGACATCTGTAGCCCACTCTTTATTGCTGCTTGAGGCTAGAGACTACGTTAGCTGATACTAGCATAACACTTGCAAACTTCCGACTGAACTGTTGGTGTTTGAGCATTGTGGGTAAGGCAGCAAGTTTTGACAAGGGCTGTGACCCTACTTAACACATTACCTTTGTTTGTTGTTTGTTTGTTAGCGTTATCCAGTGAAGCATCGGTTTTGCTGTCAGACTCTGATGATGACTCAGGAAGCAAACGGAGATGGATCACATTTTTTTTAAATTGACCTGAAGTTACTTTCTCCTCTTTTAGGTAGACTAAAATTTATTTCAGTATTGTTATTTACAACAGTTTTAACCAATGCGACAGCATCCAATCAAGTTGCAGCAGCAAACCATGAAGAATTCACATCACGTTACTGAGCGGCAGTAGGAAAGAAATGATACCAAAGATAATTTAATTTCATTCTGTTGTTAAAATGACATTACATTTAGTTAAGAGTGCATTGTGACTTGTTTAGGAGTTGAAATTTAATGTCAGGACTTCGGACTTGCATAACAGTGACTCCCACCTCTGCACACTGGACCTTTAAAACGTGTTTAGAGAGGAACTTTAAATTGCAAAAAGAGACTGGAGGATGCGATGTGACCAATACTTTTAGATGTACTAAATTTCTTCTGTAAACACATTTTCCACAACTGTGTAAAACTGGACTATAACTTTTCTTGAAACTCCAGATTGAACGGCCTCACAAAGTGTTATGTCTGATGAGTCACTGATTTATTAACAGAAGTTTAGAAAATTATACTGCCAAGAATTTTAAATTCTTTCAATTTTAAATATTATTAAAAAAATGTTATGATCATCTCTTTAGTTTTCCCAATGTTCAGCTGAAGGCTATTATCACTCCACCATGAATGTGAAGGCGGCGCTAAACCACAATCGGTTCTTGTTTGAGCCGAGTTGGTGTGTTTTTTTCAGATATGGTGTGGGCTCTTTCTCCTTTGCCTCTATGATCAGTGGGGTCACAGCAAGGTTCTCTACGCTTGATGAACTACAACAGGTATGTTCTCATTAAGTGATCCCTGGTTAAATGATAAAGGTCACACTGTTTGCTGAACTGTTGTTTCATGTTTCCCCTACCAGCTGGAGCAGTTTGTGGAGGAGCATAAAGCAGCAGGGTTTGGCTCTGCCACGCTTGCTGTGAAGCAGGCCTTGGAGAAAACCAAAGCTAACATCAAGTGGCTGGAACAGAACAAGAATGAGGTGTTGGACTGGTTCAACAGTCAGACTTGACATCAGAGTCACTAAGAGAGAGAGAGAGAGCTGAAAGCTATAATGTTATATTTTTCTCCTCTACATAAAGGACCAGTGAAGGACCCAGTTATAAGGTGTTAGTACCACAGTAATGCTCATTCTTTTTTAATAACACAATGAATATGGTGTATTCTTATGTAACAAAACACAAAACAATGATGTGGTGTCCAAATAACTCAGATTTAAAGGTCCAGTGTTTAACAGCATCTAGTGGTGAAATTGCAAATTGCAACTCCCTTGTTTCACCCCCTCTTCCAAGCATGAAGGAAAACTACGGTGGCCACGAAACGTGCGAAAAGTGCAAACGACCGTACCTGGTGCCAGTGTTTCGATCGTCCCTCCTGGGTTAGTGTAGAAATGTGGAGGTTCAACATGGTGGTCCCCATATAAAAGGAGATAAAAACGACCGTTAAGTCTTTATAAATAATTTTATAAGGAGTTTGGTGTTGACCTGCTCTATTTGAAAAGTGTCCTGAGATAACTTCTGTTATAAATTGGCGCTATACAAATAAAACTCAGAATATGTTCCCCATTCT